CCTGCCTCACTCTCCCGAGTTGCTTTACAGCTTTCCTGTGACTTCCTGGTGCCTTCCAGGAAAACATCAGGGTTACCACCTTATCTCTTCTGGACCTGCTAGTGCCTGGCCTCCACGTCCCAAGGTTGTGATCTCCACTCAGCCCACAGGCCTGTGTCCCGGGGCAAGCACAGCTACTGCTCAGCACATTTGTGACAAGTGAATGATCAAGACAATTGTCAAGGTCTCTGTTTATTTTGAGACAGGCTCTTTGTAACCCTAGCTGGCCTGGAACTCGCTTTGTACAAGAGGTTGGCCCCCTGGTGGTGGCCCAGCACTAGTCCAGGGATAAAGGCTGGCGTTTTGGAACCCTGGCTTGTGACTAAACGTATTTTACATACCCATAATGCATTGCGCAGAGATCGGCGCTTTCATTTAAAAGTATGAGCTCTTTTCCTGTTTCCTTTTTCTTTCTTGAGAGCGAAGCCGCATCCAGAGATTGAATGTGAACTGAAAGCAGACGTCAATGACGGCTTGATTTGTGCAGCTAGTTCCCATCGGTTATATAGGAGTTACAGACGGTGGAGAACGGTGGGCGGCCTGCACAGGTCATACTCTGGTTTCTCTTCAGATCGTATAAATCTTTCGCCTTTTACTAAAGATTTCCGTGGAGAGGAACAACTCTGAGTCTTAGCTCAATTTTTTGAGGTCCTGCTTTATGCAGGGCTACTTTTATTGGTTTAAGAGTAGACACGACAAAGCCGGGCGTTGGTGGCGCATGCCTTTAATCCCAGTACTCGGGAGGCAGAGGCAGGCGGATCTCTGTGAGTTCAAGCAGCCTGGTCTACAAAGTGAGTTCCAGGACAGCCTCCAAAGCCACAGAGAAACCCTGTCTCGAAAAACCAAAAAAAAAAAAAAAAAAAAAAAGACCAAAAAAAAAAAAGAGTAGACACGACAGATAGGCTCTTTACCTGTTTTGAAATAACGAGTAACAAAGTGCATTAGTTATTATGCTTTGTATTTTTTCCTTTGGTTTTTCGATACTGCCTTGGAGGTTGTCCTGGAACTCTCTTTGTAGACCAGCCTAGCCTCGAACCTACCTGCCACTGCCTCCGGAGTGCGAACTCCACCAAAGTTCCGCAAAATTGTGTAATTTGAAATCACTTGAAAGGTCACTGAATAGTTTAGTATTATTTTTTCCCGTTTTTTTTTTTTTTGGTAGTTTTGTGCGTTTCCATTGCCCTTTTGAAACTCTTTGTAGATCAGAGCGATTTCTGCTTTTCTATGGTATTGCTCACAAGTTTACCCCTTAGACACTCAGGATATTTTAGGATGTGCTCTTCCTCCACACAGACCTCTTGTATTTGTTTGTTTGTTTGTTTGTTTCTTTTTTTTTTTCTTTTTTTGATTTTTCGAGGCAGGGTTTCTCTGTGGCTTTGCGGGCTGTCCTGGAACTCGCCCTTGTAGACCAGGCTGGCTTCGAACTCAGAGATCTGCCTGCCCCTGCCTCCTGAGTGCTGGGATTAAAGGCATGCGCCACCAATGCCCGGCGGCCTCCAATCGGTCTCAGTGTGTGTTATATTACGTAGAGACAATCAAGCTGGGCAAAAGCACACTGAACACAGATTTCTGTCAGCTGTAAGACAGCCAGAGCTACATAGATTAAACCCTGCCTCAAAACGCAAAAGTAAACAGGCAGGTTTAGGGGTGCTAATTCTTTTTTTTTTTTTTTTTTTTTTTGGTTTTTCAAGACAGGGTTTCTCTGTGGCTTTGGAGGCTGTCCTGGAACTCGTTTGGTAGTCCAAGCTGGCCTCGAACTTACAGAGATCTGCCTGCCTCTGCCTCCCGAGTGCTGGGATTAAAGGCGTGCGCCACCAACGCCCGGCCTAGGGGTCCTAATTCTATAATATAATTTTATAAGGTGTCTCCTCTTTCCAACCTGACATTCTAAAAACCCAGCCAAGGAGATGGAGACAGAAGTCAGTGGTCTAGAGAGCTTACTGCTCTGGAGGGAACAGATTTTGTTTTCCATCCTCCACATCCTGGGGCTCAACAACCACCTGTTATTCAAGCACCAATAGAATGAGGTGATGCTCTCTTCTGGCCTCTGAAAGCTGCATTCACACACACAAAATTAAAAATACATATTAAAAGTATAAAGTGTAGGGGCTGGAGAGATGGCTCAGAGGTTAAGAGCACTGACTGCTCTTCCAGAGGTCTTGAGTTCAATTCCCGGCAACCACATGGTGGCTCACAACCATCTACAATTCAATCTGGTGTATATGTAATAAATAAATAAATCTTTAAAAAACAAGTATAAAGTGTAGGAACTTTTATCCTAGACCTGTTCCTGGAGGGAATCTTAGACCGTTACTGAACTTGCATTTACTGGCAGTCCCCAGACCCCACATTTCAGTATCCTTGGACATCACGGCTTTCTCTGTTTCATAATCACTATTATATTTTTTTCTATCTTTCTTCCTAAAAATCATCCTCTGGAATCACTTTAAGCCATTTTAACTTCTTGAGCTGGACATGGTGGAACATGCCAGTAATCCAAGCACTCCAGAGACTCAGAGACAGATTGCCCCTGAATTTGAAGATATCCTAGGTCCTCTAACGTTTGGTCAGCCAAGGCTCCATATTGGGACCCTGACTGAAAAAAAAAACCCTAAGAAGTCATTATAACTTTACAACAACAACCCCATTGCCTCTCAGAGAGGCCCACATTCACCTCACATACATTACTTGATACCTCTGTGTCAGAACTAACTGTAACTAAACCTTTGGGACTTTATTAACTTACAGACCAGTAACTTCCACCAATCCCCAAACTAAGAATGTCGGGAGACTTTTGCCTGCAGAAGAGCTATCCTCATCTTGCTGCAACTGCCAAGGGAAAGTTGAAATTTCCTTGATTTATGATATGTTCTTTTTTTTTTTTTTTTTTTTTTTTAGGTTTTTCGAGACAGGGTTTCTCTGTGGCTTTGGAGGCTGTCCTGGAACTCCCTTGGTAGTCCAGGCTGGTCTCGAACTCACAGAGATCCGCCTGCCTCTGCCTCCCGAGTGCTGGGATTAAAGGCGTGGGCCACCAACGCCCGGCTTATGATATGTTCTTGATGTGTTAAATTATAAGACTTCATGAAACTGCTTCCTTGTTGGAATATAAAATCTGGAGTAACCTAAATGTGTGTCCCTGAGTCATGAATAAACTAATTGGATCCAGAATAGACTATCTCTTGGCTGTTTTGCTTTGTTTTTGTTTTTGGAGACAGAGTTTCTCAGTGTTACAGCTCTGGCTGTCCTGGAACATGCTTTGTAGACCACCCTGACCTAAAAGTCACAGAGATCCTTCTGCCTCTGCATCCTGTGAGCTGGAATTAAATATGTGTGACACCACTGCCCAGTTGTTGTTTTTTTTTAACAGTTCCCATATGGTGGCTCACAATTATCTGTAGCTCCAGTTCCCAGGAATCTGACACCCCCTTCTGAGCTCCATGGACATCAGGCACACATGTGGTACATATTCAGGCAAAACAGACACATAAAATTAAATAATCTTTAAAAAAATTAAAAGAGACCCTCAAGACCTTGAGTACTTTCCATTGCATTCTTTGTGACTTTTAAAAAATGAAACATGCCAGGTGTAGGTGGTGCACGCCTTTAATCCCAGCACTTGGGAGGCAGAGGCAGGCGGATCTCTGTGAGTTCAAGCCAGCCTGGTCTACAAAGTGAGTTCCAGGACAGCCTCCAAAGCCACAGAGAAACCCTGTCTCGAAAAACCAAAAAAAAAAAAAAAAAAAAAGAACCAGAATAGGTCCTGAAAGGCAAAGGATCCCCTGGAACTGATGTTAGATAGTTGTGAGTCTCTAGACATCATAACTTTTATTTGTGTTATCGCTTTGCTTTTTAAATAAAGTTTCCTCCTACTCTGCAGAGGAAGAGAGGGAGGGAAGAGAAAGAAAAGCAAGAGACCACCTCAAAGAAAGGACTCCTCTAATGGACACGTGGTGGCTTGTGGGAACAACAGACATTGGCCGGAGGCCCACTTCCCCATCAGCCTAGAGCAGGCAGCTGTAATACAATGTTTACTAAAAACATGTTTACTAAAAACATGTTTACTAAAAACATGTTCGTGAAAAGGGCTGGCCCACGGAAACGCCCTAATATTGACCTTTTCCAAAGACTAACTGCCTCTTTCTGACCCACCCACCTCTGCCTCTGGTGGCAGGGTATATAATAACCAGCCAGGATATGAATAAAGGAGAGCCTTCTTGAGGAGCCTTCTGAAGCCACCGATGGGTCTCTGTATCATCAATCCTGACACCCTCGCCACATTCTCAGATACAGGTTGCACAGCGGGCGTGGCAGTGTCTTTCGCCAAGGGAGGACTCCTCTAATAGATACATGGGTGTCTTTCTCCAAGGGAGGACTCCTCTAATAGATACATGGGTGTCTTTCTCCAAGGGAGGACTCCTCTAATAGATACATGGGTGTCTTTCTCCAAGGGAGGACTCCACTAATAGATACATGAGTGTCTTTCTCCAAGGGATGACTCCTCTAATAGATACATGGGTGTCTTTCTCCAAAGGAGGACTCCTCTAGTGGAATCTTGGGTAGATTTCTCCAAGGGACAACTCCTGTAATGGACCCTTAGGTGGCTTTTGAGGCTATCCTGCTTCCCCCAACCCCCCCACCCCCGACACAGGGTTTCTCTGTGGCTTTGGAGGCTGTCCTGAAACTCGCTCTGTAGACCAGGCTGGCCTCGAACTCACAGAGATCCACCTGCCTCTGCCTCCCGAGTGCTGGGATTAAAGGCGTGCGCCACCAACGCCCAGCGGCTATCCTGCTTCTTGATGCGCTCACCTATTTTTCTTTTTTTGGTTTTTCGAGACAGGGCTTCTCTGTATTGTTTTGGAGGCTGTCCTGGAACTCCCAATGTAGATCTGCCTGCCTCTGTCTCCTGAGTGCTGGGATTAAAGGCATGCACAATCACCACTGGGCTACCAATGTTCTTTTCTTTTCATTTGTCCCTTGTTTATTTAAGTTTCTGGTGAGGCTGGTGTCTTTCCACATACAGGCAATTGAACTTGAAGGTCTGTGTCATTTCAGAGCTCTCAACCATTATCTCTAGGGGTCTTGTCTGTGAACCTGTAACGGTGACCACACCCTTTTGGGTGTGGCCTCAGGCAGAAGGAAGCAGAAAGAGGGAAGCTTGAGGCTTGGCTCCTGTTTTGGGGGCTCCTTTCTGGTGGGTCAGCCCATCCAGTAGGAAGGGCAGAGAAATGCTCCCACGGTTCTTTGTACTTTTCTGTGTAAGTGTTCCCCAATAAACACCCATTGCTGAGGCTGGTGGGAACGGACATACTTACAAGGAAGAGCTGGTAGAGTTCCTCCTCCATGGACTTGTGGACATGTTCCTCCACCAATGGGAACATTTGCACAAAGAACTGCAGCAGAAGTGAACGGGGCAGCAAGACGGTGTGGGTATCTGCTGACTCGACTGCCCATGCCCTGCAGTCTGCCCACGCCCACCCCAGCCCGAGCACCTCTAGTGTGAGGCTGGCCAGTCTCTGGCTGTTGCTGTGGTCGGTGTTGCCCATGGCTATCATCAGGCTGTGAATCACACGCATGTGCAGCAGCTCCTCGGCCACTGTGAAGTCATCTCGTGCCAGGATCCTTTGAGGAAGGATAAGAAGACAGGGAAAACTGTGGAGACGTGGGAGGGGAAAGGAGTCCCTCACCCCAAGTCTGAAGCCTCCCTCTCTCCAGCTGAGAAAGTAGAATTCCAGCAGAGCTGGGCTTTGTGGCACATGCCTTTTATCCCAGCACTAAGGAGGCAGAGGCAGGTGGATTTCTGTGAGTCCAGGCCAGCCTGTCTATGTAGAGAGTTCCAGGACAGCCTCACCTACTCCTGTCATGGGGAGACATTACTGCAAAAACAACAAAAAACAGGAAACAAGACAATGAGCTGCAATTCTTCCTTGAGAAGCCTGTAGTTTTTGTGGGAATTCATTTCACCAATAGTATTGGGATACAGGACCTAGGGCGTGGCTTCTTGTCTGCAAAGATGATCTCTCAAAAGCAGAGAGACAGAGGTCGAGTGCTCTCTTGGCTTGTGAACCTGGTCAGGTAGTGTGAAGCATTCTTTGGCAGTTCCCAGGTCCCTTGGGCAAATGAAAGGACTTTGCAACTTGTTATACCTTGTCCTGTATCCGTGAGTCTGTTTTCCCCCTAACATCCATATCTATCTATCTTCCTACCTACCTACCTACCTACCTACCTACCTACCTACCTACCTACCTACTGACCCAGCCACCCACCCACCCACGTACCCATCCACCCATCCATCCATCCACCCACCCACCCATCCACCCATCCATCCACCCATCCATGCATCCATCCTGATAGCCGCCTAATCCAGCCTGGGGCCAGCTCGCTCGTTCTGCCATCCTCTTCGGGCCCCAGGTGCCCAAACTCCATCTTTTGAAATTCCCACTTTGTCCCACCCCCAGAATTTCCCTGGCACGCACCCCGAAGCACTCCTTGGGAGTGATGGGCATAGCTTGCCCCTACCCTCTCTCCAATCCCCCCCATTCGCCACAGTCTTGCATTCCTTTGTCGCATTCATTGCACCCCTTATCGCCGCTCTGTTAGCAACGAACCAAGCGGCTGCTGTACAGCTCAGTGATTGTGGCAAACCGGGTAATCACCTGCTTTGCACGTCTGCCCCTCCCGGCAGGCCTGCTTCACGTCTGCGAGGCCGAGATAGGCTCTGCTGTGCACGCTGAGGCAGGGTCCCGCCACCCTGCTCATGGCTCATAGGGTTCCTCAGCCTCTGATCTGCCTCTGCCCTGACCCATCCTGCCAGTGTAGGAGCAACGGGAAACCCGGGAACCACGACGTGGTCTACTCAGCTCAAGTTGTTTTTGCTTGGCGTGACCCGTGAATTCTGTGCCTCGAGTACAGACAACTATAGACGACACTTCTCCTGAAGTGATAAGGTTAATTCAGACTGATCAGTAAGTAGATTTACATTCGGAAAAAATCTGTCGTTTGCTCTGCCCCCTGGTGGTCGACTCACATCTTTACAGGGGCAAAAAGGAAGTATTTCCGGTATTTCCGGAGCCCTGAGGGCGGCGACTCAGTCTTATTTACATACCCACAATGCACCGCACAGGGATCATTGCTGAATTTCAAACCAGAACTGCTAGTTTTTTGTTCCAACTTGGTTTCCTTCACCGTCGTACAATTTTCACAGATTTAAGTGAGACTGAACCAGAAGAGTTACGTGTTTTATTTCGTTTTCACAAAAAAGTGACCATTCGTTAAGTAAGATTCTTTGCTCACTTGAGAACTACATGTAGCCTAGGACAGGTATGTCCTTATAATTATATAAGCAGAAATTCTTTTCCGGAATTTTTGGAGGTCTCACTCAAGAGCCAAATTTTGAGCCAAGTGAGACCATATTCGTTAAAAACTAGAATCCTTTTTCTAAGTACTTTTTTACCAATTAGTTTTCAGCAAATACATAGTTTTGTGTGCTGTGTCATTTAGTGATTAAAATTTGGAGACCTCATGAAGCTTTTACCTTAGTGTTGTAATTCAAGCCTAAAGTTCAAAACCTGTACTTGTTGTGTATATAAACCCAGTATGACCTTAGCATGCTCTGTGTGTGTGGCTGCTTCTCTTTACTTTGTCTTGTGCTTATGCACCTGGGTAATCCTCTGTAGGTGATCTGTCTCCTTCCCTACAAAAACAAAACCAGGAACAAAGTCAAGAGAAACAATAGCAGAGAGAGACAAACAAAATTACAACCCAAATGTAAAGGCAACATATAATCAAACCAAAACTAACAAAACCCCCAAGAATATCAGGAGATAGTAGTGCATGCTTAATCCAGCATTTGGGAGGCAGAGCCAGAGGCAGGTGGACCTTTGTGAATTAAAGGTCAGGTTATATGGTCTCAGTGGTTAAGAACACTAGCTGGTATTCCAGAGGTCCTGAGTTCAATTTCCAGCAACCACATGATGGCTCACAACCATATGTAATGTGATCTGGTGACCTCTTCCGGTCTGCAGACAGACAGAACAGTGTATACCAAATAAATAAATAAATAAATAAATAAATAAACAAACAAACAAGTCTAAAAAAAATGGGGGGCAGGTATAATATAAAATCAAATCAGTTCCAGGACAGTCAGGGCTACTCAGAGAAACTCTGTCTTGAAAACCAACCAAGAAAGACAAAGAAACAAAAACAAACCAAAATCTAAAGGCAACATATAATCTAAACCAAAACTAACAAAAACCCCAAGAAGGTCAGGAGGTAGTGGTGCACGCATTTAATCCCAGCACTTTCTAAGCAGAGGCAGGGGGAGTCTCTGTGAGTTTGAGGCCAGCCTGGTCTACAGAGAGAGTTCCAGCCAACCAACCAAAACAAAAGAAAACAATTAAAAAGCCTAATGAAACAATGAGCAACAGGAAAAACAGGAGAACCCAAAGTAAAACAAAACTGAAATACGAAACTGATTTAGCTGAGCTGGATGGCACTGGTCTGCTATTCCAGTCACTGGTGACAGGTGGCAGGAAGATCAAAACCACCCTGGAGTATGGGCCAAGTTCAAGGCCAGCCTAGGCAGTTTAGGAAGGTACTGTCTTAACAATTAAAAAGTAGAAACAGCATATGATGGAATGTCACATAGTAGCTATGAGGCCTGAGGCACTGCAAGGCAAACCTGAAAGAGACTGGGAGGAAAAACAAAAATACCAGTGATGAGAGATTAGTACAGGATGTAATATGTTATAAATTGGGCACAGTGGCACATGCTTATAATCCCAGGGTTCAGGAGGCAGACAAGTGCATAGGCCTGCAGACAGTGTCAGTCTTGGCTTGCCGCAATCACCCACTCCCTCTGCTGGCCTACCCAAAGGCTGCCTGTAAAGAGCACTGGTAGTGCTGGGCGTTGGTGGCACACGCCTTTAATCCCAGCACTCGGGAGGCAGAGGCAGGCGGATCTCTGTGAGTTCGAAGCTGGGCTGGACCGACAGCCTCCAAAACAATACAGAGAAACCCTGTCTCGAAAAACCAAAACAAAAAACAAAACAAAACAAAAAAAAACACTGGTAGCTGGAAGCATTTCAATGGATCAGGTGGGATGGATTATGGCACTTCGGAGCCAAAGAATATTGAGAGGCATTCTGCAGGACACAGAGAAAAAAATGACTGACAAACTGCCAATACAGGCAGGACAGTTTCAAATTTCCTGCTTCACTGAGAAGTCTGCCACACACTCTAGACTGAAGACGGATGCCCCAACATTACAGAAAAACTGTGGGTAACTGTCCAGGAGGCAATATATCTCTGTAAATTCTAGAGTTTATATAATATCCTTCTGAGGTCTTTGATTGAGTTGAAGACAGATAGCTATGGCTACTGTTTTCCTTAGTTAAGATAAAAGGTAAGTTACATATAAAACTTTAGACTCACAAAGATAGGATAGAATATTTTCTCTAAATTTTGCCAAATGTTAATGGTCTAAATATTGTTACCTATAGATCTTGCTTAATCCCTGTTTGGTTATTTATACTTTTACTATGTTAAGGTTAAAACCTTTTTTTATTTAGACAAAAAGGGGAGATGATGGGGGATGTCCTTCTGTATATCTGTTTCTCTTATTGGTTGATGAATAAAACACTGTTTGGCCAGGCAAGTAGTGTAGGTGGGGTTATGAGAGGAAGGAGAAGGAGAGAGGAGACAGACTCTGAGATCCCGTGTGGCCTCCAAAGGAGTAACCAAGACCCTGTGAAAATACAAATTAACTAAATGACGGTGCTGATCAATAGGAAGTCCTAATCACTGGCCAACATTTATAAATTAATATATATCTGTGGGTGCTTATTTGGGGCTGAAGGGTGGTGGGACTTCAGCAGCATTGAGACAAGTGGGTCACTTGAGTAGGAGTTCAAGTCCATCCTTGATAATACAGCAAGAACTAGCCCAACATACAAACAAAAATGCATTATAATTATTGTTAATTAATTACTTAATTTGGAGACAGGTTTTCTCTATGTAGCTCTGTTGTCCTGGAGCTTGCTACATAGTGCAGACTGTTGTCAAACTTACAGAAAACCTTATTCCTCTGCCTCCTGAGTTCTGGCACTAAAGATGTGTCACCAAGCCTGGTTCATTATTATTTTTAAAAATCAGACATTCAGCTGGGCGGTGGTGGCCCACGCCTTTAATCCCAACACTCGGGAGGCAGAGGCAGGTGGATCTCTGTGAGTTCGAGGCTGGGCTGGACCGACAGCTTCGAAAACAATACAGAGAAACCCTGTCTCGTAAAAACCAAAAAAAAAATCAGACAGTCAGTGAAGTATTAACAATATGAGCTATTGATGCGGCATAAGTGTTGATGGCTCAGGAGTTATGGTTACATGCTCTCTCTCTCTCTCTCTCTCTCTCTCTCTCTCTCTCTCTCTCTCTCTCTCTCTCTCTCTCTCAGGTCTCCTGTAGCCCAACCAAGCTTACGCTTGCTATGTAGCTAAGGATAACCTTGAATTACCGATCTGACAAGTTTGCTGTTTGAAAATAAGGTCTTGGTAGCTCAGGCTGGCCTTGAACTCTTGACATTCATCCTGTCTTTACTTCCTGAGTGTTGGGATTACAGATGTAAACTGCTACACTGCTCTTCTAGACAAGTTTTTTTGTTCTTGCTTTTTATTTATTTTTTTAAAATATTTTATTTATTTAGTGTATATACAGTCTTCTGCCTGCAGGCCAGAAGAGAGCACTAGGTCTCATTCAAGGTGGTTGTGAACTACCATGTGGTTTCCGGAATTGAACTCAGGACCTCTGGAAGAACAGTCAGTGCTCTTAACCACTGAGCCATCTCTCCAGCCTCCTGCTTTTTATTTTTATTCTATGAGTGTTTTGCCTTTATGTATGCAAGTGCACCAGGTGCAGTGATGTGCCAGCCTGTGGGAGCCATCCTGGGTTCCCTGCAACCCCTGCAAGAGCAGCAAGTTTTTTTTTTTTTTTTGGCTTTTCCAGACAAGGTTTCTTTGTATTGTTTTGGAGGCTGTCCTGGAACTTGCTCTGTAGACCAGGCTGGCCTGCAACTCACAGAGATCTGCCTGCCTCTGCCTCCCGAGTGCTGGGATTAAAGGTGTGCGCCACCACGCCCGGCTTCAGCAGCAAGTGTTCTTAATCGCTTTTCACATCTCCAGCTTCCTCTTCTGGACAAGTACAACCAGCCTGTGATGTGAACTCCTCTAAGAAGTGAATCAGAATCAGTGTGGAAAACTGGAAACAAATTTGCCTTGGGGTTTGTACCTTGACCCTGGAGAACCTTATATAGCAAAACTCTTCAAATGTTAAATAAAGTGACACAGATCAGTACTAATATAACTGGGTGGATGGGACGTTCTTGTTTAAGCACAGAAGATTCTGGAGCCTGTGAGATAACTCAGGGTTAGAGGTGCTTGGTGCCTTGTCTTCACACTCAACATTCACTCACACACACACACACACAGACACACATACACACACACTTACACTCACTCACTCACACACACACACACACACACACACGCACACACGCACACATACACTCCAGCATGCTTGCACACTAAATAAGTTTAAAATCTTAGGATTTTTGTTTGTCTTTGTCTTCAAGATAGGGTTTCTCTGTGGCTTTGGAGGTTATCCTGGAACTCGCTCTGTGTAGACCAGGAAGGCCTCGAACTCACAGAGATTCGCCTGCCTCTGCCTGCTGAGTGCTGGGATTAAAGGCGCGTGCCACCAATGGCAAGTGCTAAAATGTTAATTATATTTTAATGTGCCTATATAAATATGCACGCCTGTGAGTGTAGGTCAGAGGACAATTTGGAAAATTTTCTTTCTGCCAGACATCTCTAGAGGGTTCTACTGTGCCAGTGCAAGAGTTTTTCAGTCACTAATATCCCTGTTGTACTTTGGGACTGATGAACCAGCCACACACTCAACCTCATTATAGGACAATTGATCATTTCATTAGTACCTCCAGTAAATGCCAGTTATCAGGTTAATTATTTAGATTTTTATTTTGCAAATGGTGATTTTTCTAAATTCATAAAGAGACATTTTATGGAAAACTTGTTTGGTTTACATATTTGGTTAGTTTTTCAAGGAGTTGTGTTTTTTCATAAGACAGTGTCACTCAGCCAGGCATAGACTCACACGCCTTTAATTCCAGCACTGGCAGCAGAGGTAGGCAGATTCTGTGAGTTAGAGTCTAGCCAGGTCTACAAAGTGAGTTCCAGGATAGCCAAGAATATATATAGACTTTGTATCAAAAAACCATGGGGGGCCGGGCGGTGGTGGCACATGCCTTTAATCCCAGCACTCGGGAGGCAGAGGCAGGTGGATCTCTGTGAGTTCGAGGCCGGGCTGGACCGACAGCCTCCAAAACAATACAGAGAAACCCTGTCTCATTAAAAAAAAAAAAACATGGGGGGGGAGACACCTTGTAGCCATCTGAAACTCTCCATCCTCTTGCTTCAGCACTGGAATTACACAAAACATCACCAGTTTTCATTAGCTCCTATGGCAGATTTAAAATGTTCCGACCAAGGTTTTTTTTTAACTATTTATTAATTTTATTTTATTTGCATTGATATAGAAGGTGTCAGATCCCCTGAAACCAGAGTTACAGACAGTTGTGAGCTGCCATATGGTTGCTGGGTATTGAACCCGGGTCCTCTGGAACAGCAGAACAGTGCAGTTTACCTCTGAGCTGCACTCCAAGACAGAGGCAGGTGGATCGCTATGAGTTCGAGACCAGCCTGGTCTACAAGAGCTAGTTACAGGACAGCCTCCAAAGCCACAGAGAAACCCTGTCTCAAAAAACAAAATAAATAAATAATAAAAACCCAGCCCTCAAGCCACTCCTACTGCCCAGTTTCAGAAGTCAGAAGTCTTCTGTGGTCTCAGCTAGCTGGAATGCTTTTTGTGCCCCTCAGTGATTTTTTCTTCTTCTGCAATAAACTTGCCTCTGGTTTCGTAGACTTTGGTGATAAGTCTTTGGTGACAAGACTTTGTGTGCCTCTGGACCTAACACATATCAGCTGAGTTGCCTGCTTTTATTTTTAAAAATTATGTGTATACGGATCAGAATGGCTCAGATCAAAAACACTGATGACAGCATATGCTGGACAGGGTGTAGAATACGTTGAACACTCCTCCATTGCTGGTGGGAGTGCAAACTTGTACAACTGCTGTGGAAATCATTTTACGGTTTTACAGAAAACTGGGAATCAATCTACCTCAAGACCCTGCAATACCACATTTGGGCATGTACCCAAAGGATGCACACTCACACCACAAGGACATTTGCTAAACTAGGTTCATAGCAACATTATTTGTAATATCCAGAACTTGGAAACAATCTAGACGCACCTCAGTGAAACATGTATAAAAAACATGGGGCTGGAGAGATAGCTTACAGGTTAAGAGTACTGACTGATCTTCCAGGTGTCCTGAGTTCAATTCCCAGCAACCACATGGTGGCTCACAATCATCTGTAATGAGATCTGGTGCCCTCTTCTGGCCTGCAGGGATACATGCAGACAGAACACTGTATACATAATAAATAAATATATCTTAAAAGAAAAGAACATGTGGCACATTTACACAAAGGAGTATTACTCAGGGGTAAGAAACAATGACATCTGTACATTTGCAGGTAAATGGACAGAACTAGAAAAAAAAACACCTTGAGTGAGGAACCCAGATCCAGAAAGACAAATACAGTAGGTTCTCACTCAGAAATGGATACCAGAAATAAAGTAAAGTATAACCAGCCTACAATTCACAACCCCAGAGAGCTTAAACCCTCTTCCAGAAACTGATGGAAGCAGATGCAGAGACCCACAGTAACCCTTGGGATGAGCTCCCGAAGTACAATGAAAGTGAGAGGGATAATGAACAAAGGAGTCAAGACCATGATGGGGAAATGCACAGAATCAGCTGACCTGAGTAGTGAGAGGTCACTGACTCCAGACTGACTACTGGGGAACCGGGACTGGAATGTAAATAATAAATAAAAAGGAGGACAACCAAAACGTTATGGTCATCATGTATGTCTGTGTGTGCCTGGCTCCCATGGAACTCAGCAGAGGGTAGGGAGGGTTGTGAGCCACCATGTGGTTTCTGGGAACTGAACCCTACTGTGTCATGTCTCCTAATCTGGTCATGTTTTCCATCTTAGAGTTGTTCTTTCCTTCTGTTGACTATGGTTCTCCTCTCCTTCTTCTAGTTTTGGAGATAATCACACTCTATATCCCAGGCTAGCATAGACTTTCTATATAGACCACCATGGTGTTGAATTCCTGGCAATCCTCCTGCCTCACTCTCCCGAGTTGCTTTACAGCTTTCCTGTGACTTCCTGGTGCCTTCCAGGAAAACATCAGGGTTACCACCTTATCTCTTCTGGACCTGCTAGTGCCTGGCCTCCACGTCCCAAGGTTGTGATCTCCACTCAGCCCACAGGCCTGTGTCCCGGGGCAAGCACAGCTACTGCTCAGCACATTTGTGACAAGTGAATGATCAAGACAATTGTCAAGGTCTCTGTTTATTTTGAGACAGGCTCTTTGTAACCCTAGCTGGCCTGGAACTCGCTTTGTACAAGAGGTTGGCCCCCTGGTGGTGGCCCAGCACTAGTCCAGGGATAAAGGCTGGCGTTTTGGAACCCTGGCTTGTGACTAAACGTATTTTACATACCCATAATGCATTGCGCAGAGATCGGCGCTTTCATTTAAAAGTATGAGCTCTTTTCCTGTTTCCTTTTTCTTTCTTGAGAGCGAAGCCGCATCCAGAGATTGAATGTGAACTGAAAGCAGACGTCAATGACGGCTTGATTTGTGCAGCTAGTTCCCATCGGTTATATAGGAGTTACAGACGGTGGAGAACGGTGGGCGGCCTGCACAGGTCATTCTCTGGTTTCTCTTCAGATCGTATAAATCTTTCGCCTTTTACTAAAGATTTCCGTGGGGAGGAACAACTCTGAGTCTTAGCTCAATTTTTTGAGGTCCTGCTTTGTTCAGGGCTACTTTTACTGGTTCAAGAGTAGACACGACAGAGTCTCCTTACCTGTTTGGGAATAACGAGTAATGAAGTGCTTTAGTTATTAAGTTATTTTCTTATTTGTGACACTGACTTTCTGTATTTCCTTGGAGGTTGTTCTTTGTAGGCCAGCCTGGCCTTAAACCATTTGCCTCCCGAGTGGTGGTTTTAAAGGTATGCTCCACCAAAGATCCGCAGAATTGTGTATTTTGAAATCACTTGAAAGGTCACTGAATAGTATTAATTTTTCCCCCGGGTTTTTTTTTTTTTCCGGTAGTTTTGTGCGTTTCCATTGCCCTTTTGAATCTCATTGTAGATCAGAGCGATTTCTGCTTTTCTATTGCTCACAAGTTTACCCCTTAGACACTTTCAGGATATTTTAGGATGTGGTCTTCCTCCACACAGGCCTCTTGTTTTTGTTTGTTTGTTTGTTTGTTTTTTGATTTTTCGAGGCAGGGTTTCTCTGTGGCTTTGCGGGCTGTCCTGGAACTCACTCTGTAGACCAGGCTGGCTTCGAACTCAGAGATCTGCCTGCTCTGCCTCCTGAGTGCTGGGATTAAAGGCATGCGCCACCAATGCCCGGCGGCCTCCAATCGGTCTCAGTGTGTGTTATATTACGTAGAGACAATCAAGCTGGGCAAAAGCACACTGAACACAGATTTCTGTCAGCTGTAAGACAGCCAGAGCTACATAGATAAACCCTGCCTCAAAACGCAAAAGTAAACAGGCAGGTTTAGGGGTCCTAAGTCTATAATATAATTTAATAAGGTGTCTCCTCTTTCCAACCTGACATTCTAAAAACCCAGCCAAGGAGATGGAGACAGAAGTCAGTGGTCTAGAGAGCTTACTGCTCTGGCGGGAACCGATTTTGTTTTCCATCATCCACATCCTGGGGCTCAACAACCACCTGTTATTCAAGCGCCAATAGAATGAGGTGATGCTCTCTTCTGGCCTCTGAAAGCTGCATTCACACACACAAAATTAAAAATACATATTAAAAGTATAAAGTGTAGGGGCTGGAGAGATGGCTCAGAGGTTAAGAGCACTGACTGCTCTTCCAGAGGTCTTGAGTTCAATTCCCAGCAACCACATGGTGGCTCACAACCATCTACAATTCAATCTGGTGTATATGTAATAAATAAATAAATCTTTAAAAAACAAGTATAAAGTGTAGGAACTTTTATCCTAGACCTGTTCCTGGAGGGAATCTTAGACCGTTACTGAACTTGCATTTACTGGCAGTCCCCAGACCCCACATTTCAGTATCCTTGGACATCACGGCTTTCTCTGTTTCATAATCACTATTATATTTTTTTCTATCTTTCTTCCTAAAAATCATCCTCTGGAATCACTTTAAGCCATTTTAACTTCTTGAGCTGGACATGGTGGAACATGCCAGTAATCCAAGCACTCCAGAGACTCAGAGACAGATTGCCCCTGAATTTGAAGATATCCTAGGTCCTCTAACGTTTGGTCAGCCAAGGCTCCATATTGGGACCCTGCCTCAAAAAAAAAAAAAAAAAAAAAAACCCTAACAAGTCATTATAACTTTACAACGACCCCATTGCCTCTCAGAGAGGCCCACATTCACCTCACATATATTACTTGATACCTCTGTGTCAGAACTAACATCTTGTAACTAAACCTTTGGGAATCTATTAACTTAGCAGACCAGTAACTTCCACCAACCCCCAAACTAAGAATGTTGGGAGACGGCCGGGCGTTGGTGGCGCACGCCTTTGATCCCAGCACTCGGGAGGCAGAGGCAGGCGGATCTCTGTGAATTCGAGACCAGCCTGGACTACCAAGCGAGTTTCAGGACAGCCTCCAAAGCCACAGAGAAACCCTGTCTCGAAAAACCAAGAAAAAAAAAAAAGAATGTCGGGAGACTTTTGCCTGCAGAAGAGCTATCCTCATCTTGCTGTAACTGCCAAGGGAAAGTTGAAATTCCCTTGATTTATGAAATGTTCTTGATGTGTTAAATTATAAGACTTCATGAAACTGCTTCCTTGTTGGAATATAAAATCTGGAGTCACCTAAATGTGTGTCCCTGAGTCATGAATAAACTAATTGGATCCAGAATAGACTATCTCTTGGCTGTTTTGCTTTGTTTTTGTTTTTGGAGACAGAGTTTCTCAGTGTTACAGCTCTGGCTGTCCTGGAACATGCTTTGTAGACCACCCTGACCTCAAAGTCACAGAGATCCTCCTGCTTCTGCATCCTGAGGGCTAGAATTAAAAATGTGTGACACCAATGCAAATTTTTTAGCAGTTCCCATATGGTGGCTCACAATCATCTGTAGCTCCAGTTCCCAGGATTCTGACACCCCCTTCTGAGCTCCATGGATATCAGGCACACATGTGGTACATATTCAGGCTAAACAGACACATAAAATTAAATAATCTTTTAAAAAATTGAAAAGAGACCCTCAAGACCTTGAGTACTTTCCTATGTAGTCTATGGTATTCTTTGTGACTTTTTAATAATAAAACATATACTTTATATGCATATGTGCCTGGTGTATGCATGTGCCTCATGTGCATACATTTCTTTCATGCGTGTATATGCCTGATGTATGCATATGGATCATGTGCAAACATTTCTTAAATGTGTATATGCATGCTGTATGCATGTGCATTTTGTGCATACATTTCTTTTGTTTTGTTTTTGTTTTTTTGGTTTTTCGAGACAAGGTTTCTCTGTATTGTTTTGGAGGTTGTCCTGGAACTCGCTCTGTAGACCAGGCTGGCTTTGAACTCAGAGAGATCCGCCTGCCTCTGCCTCCGGAGTGCTGGGATTAAAGGCGTGAGCCACTACTGCCCGGCTACCAATTTTCTTTCCATTTGTTCCTTGTTTATTTAAGTTTCTGTTGAGGCTGGTGTCTTTCCACACACAGACTATTGAACTTGAAGGTCTGTGTTATTTCAGAGCTCTCAACCATTATCTCTAGGGGTCTTGTCTGTGAACCTGTAACGGTGACCATACCCCTTTGGGTGTGGCCTCAGGCAGAAGGAAGCAGAAAGAGGGAAGCTTGAGGCTTGGCTCCTGTTTTGCGGGCTCCTTTCTGGTGGGTCATCCCATCCAGTAGGAAGGGCAGAGAAATGCTCCCATGGTTCTTTGTACTTTTCTGTGTAAAAAACCCATTTATCATTTATCTTGGGTCTAGTGAAATCTTTACAGACGTGCTTTCAATTGGTGCCCGATGTGCTTGGGTTGGTCCCTGGGACAGCCCCACGTAGCTCATTGTACAGCCTGTGGCTTTTTTATTTGGCTCTGGCCGCTAAGTTTGCTGCACAGTTTCCGTGGGAAAAGCTGGTACTTCTCTGTGCTCTTTGCATGTCGTGGATTTGGGGGCACGTGCCTGAGTAAAGTAGCCCAAAGCTTTCTGGGTTTCAGCGGTTTTTTTTTTCTGTTTCCATCTGTCTGAAGCCACACCCAGCCTCAATTCTTGCAGTGATCACTGCTTCTCCAGTCCAGGAGATGTCTGAGTTCAACCTCAGCCTGGTCTATATATCGAGTTCTCATTCAGCAAATGCTATACTAAACAAACAATCCAACAAACAAAAAAAGCCACGTGTCAGCCGGGCGTTGGTGGTGCCTCCAAACAATACAGAGAAACCCTATCTCGAAAAACCAAAACCAAAACCAACGAAACAAACAAACAAACAAACACACAAACAAACAAACAAAAAAAAAACCCCAGGTCTGGAACAACACAAACCAAGTTTGATGTGGAGACCTATGCCCGTCGTCCCTGCACTGGGGAATCGCAGGCAGAAGGATCTCGAGTTCAAAGTCATTTTCAGTTACATGGAGAGATGAGGTTAACCTGAACTACAAGAGACCCTGTCCCAAACACCCCCAAACAAGTAAACAAAACCCCGCAGCAGTCTAGTTGTATTATTCTCTGACTGCATTCGAGGTAAATCTTAGGTGCGGAACGTCCAGGTGCCTCTCTGCCCTTTTCTCGAAGTTCTAGTGTTTGGCACCTGTGTCTTTGAACTTTGAGTCATCAGTGCTTGGCATACATTCCAGTGCCTTAGGGCAAAGACCTCAGGCGTTCAATACTTTGAGTTAAATGAATGTACCGATATAGTAATTTTCGATGTGTTGTTTATTTACTGATTAATGCAGTGGTGAAATCCAATGCCTTTGTGTATAGACAACGGATCTACAATGACAACACTTCTCCTGAAGTGATAGTTGTAATTCAGAAAATAATTCGGAAAATCTGGCGTTTTGCTCTGCCCCCTGGTGGTCGGTTCACATCGTTACATGGGGTAAAAAGGAAGTATTTCAGATATTTCCGGAGTCATAGGGTGGTGGTGGTGATTCAGGCTCATTTACATACCCACAATGCATCGCGCAGGAATGATTTGATTTTTTAAAACAAAATCCGCCCTTTTTTTCCAGCTTGGTTTCTTTCACCATCCTACAATTTTCACAGATTCATATGAGCATTAGACAGAAACATTACAGTTGTTTTGTGGTTTTTTTTTTTAGGTGAAAGTTACCATTAGTTTTCTAAGACTTCTCTTATCAGGACTATATGCGACTTCCTTGCTAAAGTAAGAGGCTTTTGTCACTCAAAAACAATTTTTGGAGGTCCTCTGAGAGCCACAGTAGGGCCAGTGTATTTTGTGTAACAGTGGATTTTGGGACTTACTGTTATGTAGGTTATTGCTTGTGAAAAGCTTTATGTGCCTTTATATGCTCCTTGGGTGTTGGTGGTGCATGCCTTTAATTCCATCACTTGGGAGGCAGACTCTTGGAACGAGTCGAAGGCCAGCCTGGCCTACAGAGTGGTGAGTTCCAGGACAGCCTCCAAAAGCAATACAGACAAACTTTTGTCTACAAAAGCAAGAAAGATATAGACATCGGTTTGTTGAAGGTTGTTGTTCTTGTCAACTTTTTAACTACAACATTCAGTCGGTAAGGTTCGTATAACTGTAGTTTATTCTTTAAATATAGGCAGACAGACAGAG